ATCTAATGTTTGTAAAATATGTAACATTAAATGTTATTCTATTTCTTATGAATTGTAGTACGATATTAATATAAAATTTACTTCTTTGCATGTCATCAAGCAGATCGACCAGTGCCTCCGCATTCTGAGCCATTTCAATATAAAGTTGCAGCCAGTAAATGGCAATTATCATTTATTAAATGTTCCTGCAAATATATATGTCTATTTTTAACAAGAATGTAGTATTTATACCTTTGAAAAAGTACATGATACTTAATTCATCCGTACTAATCAGTGGTGGGCCGTACCATTCCGTACCGTTTCGTGTTGCAACGCAATAAACCGTATAAGACCGTGCTTATCCTTGCCTCTCCGTAGTACAACGTATTACGATCGTGGCTTTCCGTAACAATGCCGTATTAATCCGTATTGAAACCGTGGCTTATACGTAGGGTAACAGTACAAATACGTAGTTCTCCGTACCAAACCGTGGAAATCCTTGACAAGTTGGTGGACTACGAATCAGTACGGACTATTACGGTTTTCGTACGGACCAGTACGTATCAGTACGGATTAATACGGACTAGTAGGGATACGCTACGGTTGATTTTTCCGTAGCAAATTTTTGTGCATGTTCAAAAATTGTCAAGGATCGCTACGGATATACAAGGACTACTACGATTAATTACGGTTACAATACGGAGAGCTACTGACCAGTACGGGTAGCTACGGACGATGCCGGAATTAATCCGTGGCTCTTCCGTGGGCGTATTCCGTGAATATGTGACCGGGGTATTACTGTATATTAAGTAAAACCTGACTTAATATTGGTAAAGATTAGCTTTTTAAAACCATCTGATGTACAGATGTAGGATCTGCAGTGACAGACATAGTACAGCTTTGACAATTTTTCCAAAGTCCACCCATCCCTGTGATTTTTTTATGCGACAATTGTGACTTTCCGCTCATCACTTGATTGGTAGAAACTCGTAGTCGTGCTCACTCACTGCAGCGGAATATCTTCACCATTGATCATGGATCGTTGTTCATGTACATGAACATTTGTACATACAGTATCATGAGTATGTGATATCTATCAGGGCGAATCTGATTATCTCTGTGATTTTTTTAACCCGTCCACAGTGATTTGCCACTGTGACTCAGACCAAAGTATGTCCCCCACAATTTTCCATTCACCGTATAAAGTGTTCGCAGTGACAAAGAGGAAAGTGCAAAAACTGCTGTACTGTAGTCCAACCAATTGTACTGCAGGTTGAAATATTGTGCTTTTTTGTGTATTGGCAATATCTCCCCTATATGTACAAGATGAAAAGTACCTTTTATTTGATGAAATATGCCCCCAGATTTTGGAGTGCTGTGAACTGTCTAAAAGTATATACTTTATATTGAACCGTTTTATTATGATACATTAACTTAAAGATTATTCATCTCTACATGAGATCCGTGTTTTATATATGAAAATATTCTTAACCCTTTTCTTTCTGAGCATATTGTGAAAAATGGCCATTTTCATTGAAAACCCTCCTGTTACAAGTTCAAACTGCTATGCAACTATGAAAAATGCTTCAATACTGATGAAACATGGCACAAATGTTGACTGGAACAGCATGCTCAATCTTTAATTTCTTGTAACATTGGCAACGGGGGACGTCTCAAAATTTTAGCCTGTCTCATGTCCAAAATTTTCCCCCTTCTGGCAACTCCCTGATAGGGAGCGGCGCCAAAAAGGTGATCACTTTTTTTATCAACATTTTTTCAAGCGAAAAACATTGTTTGGGGCCTAAATAGGGCATTTTTTTCATTGTTTGAGGCCTTAAAAAGGGAGGGGGTCGAAAAGCCGCCAAAACACGTCTATATGAGAACTGATAAAGGGTTAATATAAAAATTTTGATAGAAAAATAAATACATGTACCATCAAAATAAAGGCAGTGCCACTAATGTCACTAGTCAAAATATTTTGATGTTCTGTGTTATTTTTGTTCTGGGTCAGAATTTCACTTGGATGGGCATAATGTCACTTTAATAGCTCCAAAACATAACCTTCACAAGGACCCCCAGATTATAACATTACATTTGTATTGGGCATCCAATAATGCATGAAAGGGCACCACCAGTTAAGTGGAAGAGTGGTCATAAAACCTATACTAAGTGTCGGTGTGACTGAAAATATAACCAAAAAAAATGAAAATGTATTCCATGAGATTAAGCAAATCAAACTTTCTTTCAACCTATTAAGGAAGTCAAAATATATAAAAACAAATCTGTCTCCCTTCTGGGAGACAGGATTTGCATTCAGCCTTTGCAAGTACCTATGCCACATAGACTGCTTTGAAGATAACTAATCTATCTTCACACTACACTTGATATTTACCTGGGTTATATAAGTCACTGATAGACTTTAATGTTTCATCTTTAAATAACTCAATTCTGATTCACTTTATTCAATTATTTCAGATTTATTATTCTAAGATGATTAACAAGGAGAACAAACACTTGTTTTTCAAGTTTTTCAAACTTCTACAGAAGAAATACACTTTTATTGTTTTATTCATTTCAGGAAAAACCATTTCATCAACTTTGCATCTTCTTAGAACAGTAGTTTTCCAAAATGATCAACAAATTTGATTGAAAATCTAGATAAATAAGAGTTAAGTTAGAATGATATCCAAAAGATATGACCACCTCCTGCGACTCTTGCTGGTCGGTGAAACTGGAGTTGGTAAAACTTGCCTACTGTGTAGGTTTGCAACAGATGATTTTATGGAATCTCATATTTCTACAATAGGTAATGTGTTTGTAGTAATTACCATTATTAGAAAATAAATACATTATTCAGAGCAACAGATAAGCTTTAAAAGTGAATTGGGTATTACTCCATCATTTCCTTTGGAATTGGGTATTGGCTCCATTTAATATTAATATAATTATGATCGTTGATATGAATATTATTAACAAAAAGCCATCCACTAGTACCATTATGACAGTGATATTTACAAACGATAATGATATAAATAATAATTCTATCATTTGACTTTGGTAATTTGACAACCCGTCTGAAAAAAAAAATTCACCAATCAAACATTTTGCAAGTAACTGAGGATGTTGGATGTGCCCAAGTTTTTGCTGTTTTTCGACAGCTGTTGCTATAAGATTTAAATGCAATGTATTTTTAAAATGTTTTTAATATATTTTATGTAGGTATAGATTTTAAAATGAAGACCATTGATTTAGATGGAAGGGTAGTCAAGGTTCAGATTTGGTAAGTATTAATATAAATTTATTTTTTTTATCCATTTTGATCAGATATGATAGCTATTTGCACAAAATCTTTGTACAGGTCACAACCCCAATCCCAATATCCTCAAGTATCCCCCAGTTCTAAGGTCAGGTCCAAGGCTCAGTTCTAGGTTCCCTCCTGTTTCTTGCTTATATAAATGACCTCCCACAAAACATAAATTCCCAGATAGCTTGTTTGCAGACGATACTGCAATATACATTACTCTGACATCTGCAAACCAATCAGTCACACTCCAGAATAACCTAAATTGGTTAGAATACTGGGAGTTGGAGTGGGATATGGAATTTAACCCCTCTAAGGGTCAATTTATCAATGTCACAAAAAAGAACGTCCTATTATCACAACACAAGACTACCTTCATGGAGTCCAATTTGAATTGGTTACCTCAGTTGAATACCTAGGCCTTGATATATCAGAAAACCTTACATGGGATGCCCACATTAACAGGTCATCCAAGAAAGTAAACCAAACATTAGGATTCCTACGCAGAAATGTGAGGCCAGCTTGTACATGTATACAGTGATAAACTTTGAATAGATTGTGGTAAAGGATTATGTATAAGAATCAGTTTTTGTTGTTTTCAGGGATACAGCAGGTCAGGAGAGGTTTGAGGCAATCACAAAACAGTTCTACAGAAGAGCACAGGTGAGCTACATTTATATATAGAACTTTCTATGCCTTATAAAAGTAATTTAATTGTTGTACTGTTTTCTTTGCTACCAATGAAGATGAAAGATAAAGAGCTGCAGTATGTAAATATCCATTACAACTCAGAAGTACATTCAGTAAATAAACCTTTTATTGCCATTTGGATAGAAAGCATGAAAATGTGTCCAAAAAAGCTCAATCACTTTTACCTGCCAAGTTTGCCAATGTATTATTTATATTTTGAATACAAACTGTAGAAATTGGTTTTAAGGTACAATGTATAATAGAAGAAAAATTGTGCTTAATTGGTTGCTGCATTATCTATGTACATAATATATGATCAGGAAGAAAGGTATTGGGTACTTAATTTAGACATGAGTACCCATGAGAATGTACCCTATTTGCAGGCTTCTTGGTGTTTGTCAGTGCCTTATAATCATATTCTTATATCAAATAAATTCAGTGAATAACCTTTTTGCTATTGGTTAACATTTACAGTTTCGTTTGTGTACTTAAAATGAACCTTAGTCCTTAAAAGTGGAACCATTCTACTTGTATAGTTAATTTAATTTTCTGTATTTCAGGGTATTTTATTAGTGTTTGATATATGCAATAGAAAATCCTATGAAGCAATACCAAAATGGCTTGAGAATGTTAGACAGGTATGGTGTTACATATTTTATACATCCATGTAGCTAATATAGCAAATCCAATGCTTTCATTTACTCAAGTGATATGACTGTACATGTATCATAACTTTAAAGATCCTGTAACACATTATTTTTATGGTTTTATATACAAATTATGATGCTCAAATTAAGATTTATTGATATTGTAAGTTTCAAAAAACATTATTTATAAAGATATTACCGAATTTAATATTTCATGTAAATAAAGGGAGGTAATTAGAATTTAGTTTTCTATAAATTCTAAGTCAATTTTTCCAATAAGAAATGAATGCATATAATTTAATGATTACCTTAAATATGTACAAATATTTGCAATACATATTTTACATATTCTTCCATGTTTGAAAATTGACAAATTTGCATAATTACATACATATATAATTCAATGAAGAGTGGTATGCAATCTCACTTCTCACTTCCCCTCGGAGCGTGCACGTCGCTGAGAAGGCACAGGGCATCGGCAGAAGATTTACAACTTGGCTGGTAGACAACTTAAATTTTGCCTTCAACCGTGGGCGGTAACTACGGAACTCCTACTTCGTCACTTCTGCGGACCAGCTGCCGATGTCCTGACTAATGCCGAGGGGAGTGGCCCTACAAAGTAGGCTGAGACGACAAGGATGGTGTACTAGGGTGTGTGAGCCCCTAGTACAGATAGACGGCTTGTAAGGCAGGCCTATAGCTGGCACCAACAGCCCTTTTCAGGGCTAAAAACACCTTTCCTATTGTCACAGGTTACTGTACATTTAGGTTCTCATTGACCGCCGTACAGTGACCTACTTTTCGGCTCAAAATTCATATCTTTGGCTAATACTCCGTGGAAATTGCATGGAGGTAAATTATCACCATTTTGTGCTTCAAAATTAACTCTTTAAGGACATGACTGGTGACATGTCCGGGGTCCGTACTCGACAGCGCAAGCTGCATTTTGTGCCCGAAAGGGCGGATGGACCCTCATTAAGCTTTAACTTACATACATACATATGCAATCTCAATTACAAAACATACAGGATCTTTAATGTGTCTCTGAAAAACGAAAATACAAACATAAAAACATAAATGTGTTGTATTAAAGGTTATTTCATAAAAGCACTTATTTTGTTGTCTTCTGTGCTTGACAGACATTTGCAGGTAAAAAATCGATCAAAATTTTACATGAATGTTTTCTGTTTATATTTCAGTTTTGTAAAGAGAATGTTGTAGTAACTTTGATTGGTAACAAAAGTGATAGAGTAGATGTGAGACAGGTGACAGTACAAGAAGCACAAACTGTAAGCTCATTTCTACTTCGGATATTTTTAAAGCTGATTTGAACACAATTTTGGTCGTACTTTGGCATTCTGTCCACTTTATTGACTTTCCTGGGTAACTAACCAGTAATGACCAATTTTTTTTTTTATATAAGTCCTACTACTAATCCCACATGATTTCTGAATCAGTGGTGGGAGACAAATGATTTATGTCTGAGATCATTTGTCAAAGAAAAATTTCGCCTCCATTGAGAATCAAACCAGGAACCCCTGCATTACAAATATGTTGCTCTTTCTATTGAGCTAAGTGGGCAGACTTGGTTTATTCATTTGTTTGGGTTTTTTTTACTTTCAAGTCACACAGCACATGTAAAGTTCATAATTGTACAGGTTTACTGGTGCAACGGTCCAGGTGAAGAAAAATTTCATGTGTCTCTCCTTCAATTATTTGCGACATTACCATATACCCAAGTTCAGCCACTTACTTTATTTAGGAAAGCTGGAAGCTTTTTTATACTAACATGTCTGAAATAATTAGGGATGGCATTGAGTATTCACTTAAAACTTAATACATGCTTAAAGGTCATTTTCCGAAATCCATAAGTTGGGCATAGATATTAAATGAATATTGCCCTGTGTGAACTTAAAAATTCCTTGTGTAAAGTTCAGTTTCAACATCTATCTTTGAAACTACTGAAGGCATTCACTTAATCTTCAAAACTACTGATGTTTATCACTTTAAACTTTATACATGTCTCTAGTGATCATATTTGGAGGTCACTTTTACTGACTTATAACTCATTAACTGGCATTAATTTTGACTATGGTAAATTATTGACATTTGTGAACTTTTAAAATTCATTGTGTAAGTTTTGGGTGTAACATCTGTCTCCGAAGCTATTGAAGGTTAATACATGTCTTTGTTGTCATAATTGAAGGTAACTTTGGTATGTCATGTTTTTTTAGCTCACCTGAGCATATGCTCAGGGTGAGCTATTAGGATCACTCTTCGTCTGTCGTCCGTCGTACGTCGTCCGTTGTCCATTTACACTTTTAAAAACGACATCTCCTCTGAAACCATAAGGCAGATCATAATGAAACTTCACAGGGATGTTTCTTGTGTGAAGCCTTAACAAAGTTGTTCAAAGAATTCCATTCCGTGCAGAACTCTGGTTGTCATGGCAACCGAAAGAAAAAACTTTAAATATCTTCTTTTAAGGAACCCTAAGAGCTAGAGCTTAGATATTTGGCATGAAACATCTTCTAGTGAGTGTCTACCAAGTTTGTTCAAATAAAATCCCTGGGGTCAAAATTGGCCCTGTCCCAGGGGGTCATTGATTTTCCCTATATGCATATAGTAAAAACTTAAAAAATCTTCTTTTAAGGAACCCAAGGAGCTAGAGCTAAGATATTCAGCATGAAACATCTTCTAATGAGTGTCTACCAAGTTTGTTCAAATAAAAGCCCTGGGGTCAAAATTGGCCCCGCCCCAGGGGGTCATTGGTTTTCCCCATATGCATTTAGTAAAAACTTAAAAAATCTTCTTTTAAAGAACTCAAAGAGCTAGAGCTAAGATATTTAGCATGAAACATTTTCTAATAGGTGTCTACCAAGTTTGTTCAAATAAAAGCCCTGGGGTCAAAATTGGCCCTGCCCCAGGGGGTCATTGATTTTCCCTATATGCATATAGTAAAAACTTAAAAAATCTTCTTTTAAAGAACTCAAAGAGCTAGAGCTAAGATATTTAGCATGAAACATTTTCTAATAGGTGTCTACCAAGTTTGTTCAAATAAAAGCCCTGGGGTCAAAATTGGCCCTGCCCCGGGGGGTCATTGATTTTCCCTATATGCATATAGTAAAAACTTAAAAAATCTTCTTTGAAAAAACCCAAATAGCTAGAGTTTAGATATTAAGCATGAAACATCTTCTAATAGGTGTCTACCAAGTTTGTTCAAATAAAAGCCCTGGGGTCAAAACTGGCCCAGCCAGGGGTGTCATTGTTTTTAACTATATGTGTATAGTAAAAACTTAAAAATTTTGTTTTAAAAAACCCAATGAGCTAGAGCTTAGATGTTTAGCATGAAATATCTTCTTATGGATGTCTACCAAGTTTGTTCAAATAAAAGCCCTCGGGTGAAAATTCGCCCTGCTGGGGGGTGGAGGGGGGTCAATGTTTTTCATTATATGTGAGTAGTTAAAACTTATCATTGTGAAACATCTTCTAATGAGTGTCTTCCAAGATGTTCAACAAAGCCCTGGGGTTTAAACTGGCCCCGCTCCGGGGGCCTATGTACAGGTGAGCGACCTCAGGGCCATCATGGCCCTCTTGTTTTAAAGAATTCTTCATTTTTATAAATTCATACATTATCCAGGCTTTTAATTTACTTATCAAGTATACTGTCCTTTTGACAGCTCTTGCTTTTTTTTCTGCAATCATTATTGAATGTCAAGCTAAAGCAAACAGTGTGGCAATATTGAGACATTTTGGAAAAAATGACAGCTACTTTAAGATTTTATTATATAAATGCTTTTTTAAGACAAGATAATTGAAAATATATTTGAAAATACAAAATGGCATAAATCCCTTTATTTCAGTTTGCTGATGAAAATAACATTAATTTCTTTGAAGTCAGTGCCAAGCATAGGAACAATGTTGAAAAGGTAAAGAAACCTAATTTTGTTATCTTATCATTCATTTTAAGACTTTCATGCTTCTTTAGGTGTAGTGCTTATAATATGTCATCAATGTTTATCTGGTTTATTTTGAAGGGAATAAATTTTCTGTCTTGTTGACTTATTCAAACTGAGCCAGATTTGCTCTTTTGCATCCCTCCTCAGATAAAAATTCTGGATCTGGCCCTGTAGTTAATCAAATGTCAACCAATGTTTATACAATATACTATAGCCGTTAAGTAACTGTTTGTCATTTGATTAGCCTTTACCACAAGTTAAGATCCAGGTCTGTAGGTCAAAGGTCAGACTTAAGAGGTCACAGGAAAGTGCTTGTCCGCAGCAAAGTTTGTACATATCCGGTATATAGAGAAATTTTAGTATTACTTGTTACAGAGAAGAAACTATGAAAATGTGTGTTACTGTGTGAACAATTTTGAAGTCTTGAGTCACACATGTTTACAATCATGAGACTGAGTAAAGTCAGTATAATTCAGGTCAACATAAGCAAGGTCAAGGCCACCAGAGAAGTTTAAAATGTAAAGATTTTGTCAGGAGCTTCTCCTACATTCATGGAGGGAGCTTAGTTTTACTTTACACAAATGTTTACCATCATGTGACATGGTGTTGCACACAAGACTAGGCTTCTAGGTTAAAGGACAATGTTACATATAGGGCTCAGAGGAAAGCCCTTGTGTCCATAGTGAAACTGCTAAATACATGTACTTATGGGGGTTTGTTATTGTACTTGATACAAAGTAATGTTCAATATTGTAATGCATAGTGCTGTGCATAAAATTCTGATATCAGTAGCCCTTGGCTAAGGTCATGGTCACATCCAAAGGTCCAGTGTCAAATTGGAAATTTGAGAATTGATAATTTAGCCACCATGAATTGTTTGATGTTAATGTAAATTTCACTATTGCAACTCTGGACATTTTATGGCAGGTGTATTTTATCTTGTTTGTCATATAAGGAAGACAGGTTCAGGAAGTTTCACATTTATTTTTTTCATTTTATTTATTAACAGTTTTAATGATAGGAACAATATTGTTACACAAACACTCAAAATTCATCTTGTATGTTATTTTTATTTTCAGCCTTTCCGTGATATGTGTCATGATATTTTGACAGTAGTTGAACAAGAAGGAGAACCAGACAAGGAAAATACCAGTATCTTGATTGACTCTCAAGCTCAAACTGCTACCCATAATGCATCACAAGCTAGTGTAGTCAGCCAGGAACCAGAAGATGCGTCAGCCAATCAGAATCAAGGAAACTGGTGCTGCAGTATATCTTGAGACAGTAAAACTGTTTTAGTCAGTCAATAAATTTAGAACAAAGAGCCATAAAATAAATATTGTATAATGGCGGGAAGTCAATTCCTAGTCAAGGGACTGAACTCTGATCAGGATCCTTTATGTTATTTCATTCTTTTTCTTTTATTACTCGTGTTTTATTAGTAACGAATTTAATTTTCAATCAAATTGAAATGAATGTAGGTCAGATATGAATGATTTTATGTTACTTTATTTTATATAACCCTGAAATTATAACATGGTAATGTATATTATTTAGTCTTCTTAGCGGTTATTTTTATAATTCATTGATTGGATGACATGAGTAGGGCATTTGTCTGTTTTATGACAATAAATAATATGACTCCCTCAAGAAATGAGAAATATTTATCTGTTGCATTGAGGTTGCAAAAGTCCATTGATCTAAATTCAAGGGAAATAAATATGTGTGCACATGTATTTATTCTAAATTTTATGCATTTAACCAAAAGCAATAAGTTTTCACTAAAAGTGAAACAGGTGGCATCTAACTGATAAATCTAGACTTTTGTCAAGTTATATACATGTACATAAGACTTGTATGGGCATTTATTTATTTTTTATGAGTTTTTTTTTTAATCATTTTAGGTGGAGAATTGTATTTTATATTCTAACTTGACTTTATTGAGCTTGACTATATCCTAAATACCCTTGTGTCAGCATAAACATTTGGTTCAGGTTGTGGTTGTTGGCCAAGGTAATCACTTTAATCTGATGACATCTTTTGAAACATTAATCAAGGTCTTTTTCCAAGACCTGTATGTCCAGAATGGACTTAGACTGAATAGCAGACATTTGTTATTCCGGGTTATAGTTTTATAAGTATACAGGTTAAGATTTTGTGTGCAAGCTGTATCTGCACATCCACTGAAACTCTTCCATGTCCTCATTGAAATGATAGTTCACTGATGAGCAAGACATGTAGCTGACCATAGCATAAATGTTTTACTATATTACCTCTGTGTGTTAAATTTCTGCTTGGCACTTGTTTTGTTATCAATCACTGATAGTAGTTGAGATTTAGGTTTGACTGGCAGATCAAATATACAAATATATGTCTTCTTAAATGATATGTGGTAAAAACAAATGATGCTTAAAAAGAAAGAGATCTGTGTCAGATTTGAAATGGGAAAACTTGAAACTGGAGTCACACTTTATAGTAGAGCTGTTCAGAGATGTTCTGGTTTAACATATGCAAATGTCCAAAGTTGGTTTAATTGCATATTTTCAGTGATATATTCAAGTTGAATGTTTAGTTGACTCACCAAATACTACATGAACTAGATATTTTTTCAATAATTAACCTGGTACTCATAAATAAAATAGGTCACTGTATGAGGTACATAATCTTTATTGGACATATGATCGAGTTTCCATGCCAAATACATTAAAAATATCATAATGATTTTAACATATCTGATAATGGTCATGAATTTAATAAGTCACAGATCTGTGTCATTAAATAGCATACACATCTTCTTGTTTATATGCAATTATTCAAAATTATACAGTAAATTGTACATTGTATATATTCTCTTATTTTTTTTATCTTGATTATGTCAATATATTTTGTTATCTATTTTTTTAATGTAAACAATGCATGATATAAAGCAGCTATTTTATTCTTGGATATATTTTGTAATTTTGTTTTATATTTGAATTCAGGAAAATTGATAAAAAATCAAACTTTGTCTTGTCCTATGAATGATTTTTCATAAATTTCACCAAAAAATGTGCTATTTCTTTGATGACAGCTTTATAGCATATGATATGCTTATCATTAGTAATTTTAATTGATTTAAACTGATAGTTAAGCTGATAGCTATGTAGATAAACAATAATATATTGTTTTTAGCTCACCTGTCACAAAGTGACAGGGTGAGCTTTTGTGATCGCTTTTCGTCCGGCGTCCGGCCGTCCGTCGGTTGTCCGTAACTTTAACTTTAAATGACATCTTCTCATAAACCACTAGGCCAATTTCATCCAAACTTTACAAGAATGTTCCTTTGGTGGTCACCTTTAAAAATTGTTCAAAGAATTTAATTCCATGCAGAACTCTGGTTGTAATGGCAACCGAAAGAAAAAACTTTAAATATCTTCTTTTAAAAAGACCCTAAGAGCTAGAGCTTAGATATTTGGCATGAAACATCTTCTAGTGAGTGTCTACCAAGTTTGTTCAAATAAAAGCTCTGGGGTCAAAATTGGCCCCGCCCCAGGGGGTCATTGATTATCCCTATATGCATATAGTAAAAACTTAAAAAATCTTCTTTTAAAAAACCCTAAGAGCTAGAGCTTAGATATTTTGCATGAAACATCTTCTAGTGAGTGTCTTACAAGTTTGTTCAAATAAAAGCCCTAGGGTCAAAATTTGCCCCGCCCCAGGGGGTCATTGATTACCCTATATGCATATAGTAAAAACTTAAAAAATCTTCTTTAAAAGAACCCAAAAAGCTAGAGCTAAGATATTTAGCATGAAACATGTTCTAATGAGTGTCTACCAAGTTTGTTCAAACAAAAGCCCTGGGGTCAAAATTGGCTCTGCCACAGGGGGTCATTGATTTTCCCTATATGCATATAGTAAAATCTTAAAAAATCTTCTTTTAAAGAACTCAAAGAGCTAGAGCTAAGATATTTACCATCAAACATGTTCTAATAGGTGTCTACCAAGTTTGTTCAAATAAAAGCCCTTGGGTCAAAATTGGCCCCGCCCCGGGGGTCATTGATTTTCCTTATATGTGAATAGCAAAAACTTAAAAAATCTTCTTTGAAAAAACCCAAATAGCTAGAGTTTAGATATTAAGCATGAAAATCTTCTAGTGAGTGTCTACAAAGTTTGTTCAAATAAAAGACCTGGGGTCAAAATTGGCCCCGCCCCGGGGGTCATTGATTTTCCTTATATGTGTATAGCAAAAACTTAAAATCTTCTTTGAAAAAACCCAAATAGCTAGAGTTTAGATATTAAGCATGAAACATCTTCTAGTAAGTGTCTACAAAGTTTGTTCAAATAAAAGCCCTGGGGTTAAAACTGGCCCCGCCCCAGGGGTGTCATTGTTTTTAACTATATGTTTATAGTAAAAACTTTAAAAAATCTTCTTTTAAAAGCCCAATGAGCTAGAGCTTAGATGTTTAGCATGAAACATCTTCTTATGAGTGTCTACCAAGTTTGTTCAAATAAAAGCCCTGGGGTCAAAATTGGCCCCGCCCCAGGGGGTCATTGATTATCCCTATATGCATATAGTAAAAACTTAAAAAATCTTCTTTTAAAAAACCCTAAGAGCTAGAGCTTAGATATTTGGCATGAAACATCTTCTAGTGAGTGTCTACCAAGTTTGTTCCAATAAAAGCCCTGGGGTCAAAATTGGCCCCGCCCCAGGGGGTCATTGATTATCCCTATATGCATATAGTAAAAACTTAAAAAAGCTTCTTTTAAAGAACTCAAAGAGCTAGAGCTGAGATATTTAGCATCAAACATGTTCTATTTGGTGTCTACCAAGTTTGTTCAAATAAAAGCCCTAGGGTCAAAATTGGCCCCGCCCCGGGGGTCATTGATTTTCCTTTTATGTGTATAGCAAAAACTTAAAAAATCTTTTTTGAAAAAACCCAAATAGCTAGAGTTTAGATATTAAGCATGAAACATCTTCTAGTGTGTTTCTACAAAGTTTGTTCAAATAAAAGCCCTGGGGTCAAAATTGACCCCGCCCAGGGGGTCATTGATTTTCCTTATATGTGTATAGCAAAAAACTTAAAATCTTCTTTGAAAAAACCCAAATAGCTAGAGCTTAGATATTTGGCATGAAACATCTTCTAGTGAGTGTCTACCAAGTTTGTTCAAATAAAAGCCCTGGGGTCAAAATTGGCCCCGCCCCAGGGGGTCATTGATTATCCCTATATGCATATAGTAAAAACTTAAAAAAGCTTCTTTTAAAGAACTCAAAGAGCTAGAGCTGAGATATTTAGCATCAAACATGTTCTATTTGGTGTCTACCAAGTTTGTTCAAATAAAAGCTCTAGGGTCAAAATTGGCCCCGCCCCGGGGGTCATTGATTTTCCTTTTATGTGTATAGCAAAAACTTAAAAAATCTTTTTTGAAAAAACCCAAATAGGTAGAGTTTAGATATTAAGCATGAAACATCTTCTAGTGTGTTTCTACAAAGTTTGTTCAAATAAAAGCCCTGGGGTCAAAATTGGCCCCGCCCCGGGGGTCATTGATTTTCCTTTTATGTGTATAGCAAAAACTTAAAATCTTCTTTGAAAAAACCCAAATATCTAGAGTTTAGATATTAAGCATGAAACATCTTCTAGTAAGTGTCTACAAAGTTTGTTCAAATAAAAGCCCTGGGGTCAAAACTGGCCCCGCCCCAGGGGTGTCAATGTTTTTAACTATATGTTTATAGTAAAAACTTAAAAAAATCTTCTTTTAAAAAGCCCAATGAGCTAGAGCTTAGATGTTTAGCATGAAACATCTTCTTATGGGTGTGTGTGTGGGGGGGGGGGGGGCTATATACAGGTGAGCGACCTCAGGGCCATCATGGCCCTCTTGTTTTTTTGTGGGGGTGTTTTCTTTATTCTGTTTATTAGCTCGACTATTCGAAGAATATGAGAGCTATTGTAGTCGCCCCGGCGTCGGCGTCAGCGTCCGCGTCGGCGTCTGCGTTGGTTAAAGTTTTTTGTAAAGTCAAATATCTCAATTATTGCTTTAGATATTCAATTGAAACTTACAATACTTATTTATAGTAACAAGGTACATCAGATTGACAAGTTGGATAACTCTGCCTACAATATTGACAGAATTATGCCCCTTTTTAACTTAGAAATTTTGGTTAAAGTTTTTTTGTAAAGTCAGATATCTCAATTAATGCTTGAGATATTCAATCGAAATTTAAAATACTTTTTTATAGTAACAGTTTGCAAAATTGCATAACTCTGCCTGCAATATTTGCAGAACTATTTGCCCCTTAAATTTGAAACTTAGAAAATTTTGGTTAAAGGTTAAAGGTCTTCAAAGATATTTACTTGAAACTTTACACATGTACTTAGGGTCATAATTTGAGGGTCATAATTGTATGTCACTGACCAAGTTCCATAACTCTATCCTGCATTAAGGCTGATCATATCCCCTTTTCTACTTTAAGTCTCTTGGTTAATGTTTACATGCAAGTTTTACATATCTCAATAACTATTAAAGATATTTATTTAAAACTTCACATATGCATTTAGGGTCATAATTGTAGGTCACTGACAAAGATCCATAATTCTATCTTGCATTTAGGCTGATTTTTCTCCCCTTTTTCAACTTAGAAATTCATGGTAAAGTTTTGCTTGTAAGCTGTTATCTCTATAATTACTGAAGGGTTTGTGCCTTTTTTGGGACAATTATATGCATTCATAATAATAAAGCAGTGATTTACTTGATAAAACATCTTAATAACAAGCCTTTGTACCTTTTCTGTCAATTTTATGTATTCATAGGTAATTAGTATTATTATACTCAATAAAACACCCTTGTGACATTACCTTCCGAATAGTTAAGCCAATACTGTATAATTAGACTGTCTCTAAGGCCTATAACATGAATTTATAAAAAAAAATTAGCCCTTTTGTGAACTTAGAAAATTTAACATTATCAAAGCTCTAAATTTTACGTTATCAAGGCTCTTTTACTATCAAGCACTTAGAATAGTCGAGTGTGCTGTCCTACCGACAGCTCTTGTTATTTTTATTAATTGGGGGGGGGGGGGGTCAATTCTTTTTTAAAGAGCAATTTCTTAAATCAATCATTTTAGAAAAAGTAACACCTTTGTTTGTGGGAAAATTTATTATTCTAATTTAATATCTTTCGTTTATTTACATGTAGATATGTAGGTTTTAAGCCAGAATTTTGTCGTTTGACTTCAATGGAGGTTTAATTAAGTTCTCATTTGAGACTTAATAACTTATGGGCTAGTAAACATATAGCGAAAATATATAAACATATATGAAAATAATAATATATAACTTAAAGGCAAATGATGTATAACATTTACTGTTTAATGTAACAAAATTTAGGCAAATTGTAACCAAATTTAGACAAAGCTTTATGCTATAGGGTAAATTTTAAGTGTTCATGAATATACCCATGTATACTGTATTGTTACAAATATAAAAATTGAATGTGTAGCATTTCTGATTATTTGTTCATTGAATATTATTTAAAAATATGCAGTTAATGTATTTGACCTTTGTTCCTGTTTATTTTAAAATACACATTTGTAAAATATCATTTAGACACCATGAAAATAACACTTGTAATTGTTAACATTTGTTATAAACCATTTAGGCAAGATAAAAATAACACTTTTTGCTGTTCACATTTTATATAAATCAGTTAGGTAAGATGAAAATAACGCTTGTTCCTGTTCACATGTTTATGAATCTAAATTAAGCAAGATCAAAATAACACATATTAATTTTCACATTTGATATACTTCATTGAGGCAAGTTAAAAATACCACTTGTTATTTGTTATAAATCAGTTCTTATGCTTGTACCTGTTTGTACATATTTGTCACTAGTTATTAATATTGAGACAAGATGAAGACAAGTAGTTTTTTTGCCAATTGTTTTTGCAAAATTTATTTCCTGTTTACATTTGTTGAAAATACCAGGTATTTAGAAAAAAAGGCTTGTTTTATTACCATTTACATGTAGGACAGATTACTTAGATTTTTGCCTTAGTATTCACATTCTAAATTGTGTAAGCTTTGTTTCTTTGTATATTTACAAAATTAAGGTCTTGGCAAGTGTTTAGGAAAAGTACTGATATTGTTGCTATTGGTATTGAAGACTATACGGTCTATATAAGGTCTATAAAGCAGTGATGGTAGCAAGGTGCAGTTTATAAATATTGTTTTTGAAACATAGTATAGAGGTATACACAGATATAAGCTTTTTATCTATTAATCTTAGTTATACTTAAAGCTAGTGACATAGTTTAATCAGATAACAGTGCAGATGTCTACTGTAGAGGGTTACTTTATTGAGATATTAAAAGTAGTGACCATAGTAGAGGTCAAATTTGAGATTTCTAGAGCTGAGGGTCTTATATATGTCAATTGCTAGGCTGCTGCTTTCATAAGTGACTGTTATATAAAGGTAAAAATAACATGTAATCTATATTATTTTACATGCTTTGTACTATTTCAGTGCTTCAGTGCATTATTATGCAATTTGCACAGACTAAGAAAAAGATTTTTTACATGCCATATGGCATCATCTGTAAACATCAATTATTCAAACATACTTGAAACTACATGTGTCCCCCCTGTGAAAAAGACAGGGAAGTCAAGTGCATTATAACATGATACATTTGTATATGCACAGAGTTTACATATCATGTGACATCTAATATTATTATAATAAACCAAACCATGTCATGAAAATTACTGCTCCGCTTAATGTAGTTCAACATATTTTTTATAAAGTCCATTCTTATTAGCATGTTTAAATGGAAATAGATGTAAACTTTTTAATGTGTTGAGGTAAACTTATGGGTGATTTATCGTTTAGATATTTATACTGGCCTTGGTTAAAATATTAATGCATGTCTGTATATTTTACCACAACATGCTCAAAACTGATATCTGTTGCTTAAATAAAATGCTAATTTATAATATTCTTTAAGTTAACATAATCATTCCAGTTTTTATTACAATTATATAATATGATATATTTATATATACTATATGTACATGTATATGATTATAAAGTAATGAATTTGGTGCATAAATGACTAAACTGTCCATACATTTTAAGTAATGAAATATTCTTGTAGATATTTATTACTGTTTACCACATTATTATCACTGTATCTCTGCTTATAAGTACTCATTATATCTTTTCTGGGGAAAAAATGTTTGTTTGTTTGTTTGTTTGTTTTAAATGGCTATTTGTTTTAAATGGCTACAACTTACAGGAACTCAACTGAGGTCTTACAGCCTAAAATCATAAATTTTGAAAGTCTTTCATCAATCAACTGGAAGAAATGTATCACATTTGGATGTTCTCATGAAATACTACTGAAAAACAAAATGTTGATGGAGTTTAGGGATTTAGTATTACATATACTCGTATATGATGTACAATAATAGTTTGTTCTACTTCTAGATCACTTAATTACATGCTATATAAATTACGTAATATAAGATCACGGATCTTACACTTGCCATCAACATCCATATATAACTATTTTGTGTTTTGTTTTTCATGTATGATACTACATGATACCAACATGATTCTTTATGTTATTATTCCATTATAAACCAAATCACTTTAATTTAATTCCTAATTGACTTGATAAATTGCCGTTAGAGTTACAACTGTTAATATTTTGCTTTCAAACATTTATATTCTTTGTTTTTATAGTTACATTATTAAATTGTTAAAGAGTTTTGTTTTTCCTTACTTTTGCTTATGTCTGTGATTTTACTAACATTCCAATTTTATACTTACTGTAATAATTTATATATATCCAAAAAATGACTGCTGCTGTGCAATGTACTGTATTATTTTCATAATAAACAAAACTATAACATAATACTTGGCTTAATGTATTTTATCTTTATCAACCTGTCCTTACTCTGTTGGCACTGTCCAGTTAGCTCAATAGATAGAGCATTGGACTGTGCATTGGGTGTTCCGGGTTCGATTCTCAGACAGTGCAGGTCATTTTCATTGTGATTGATTATGAAATCCTTTCTACAGTGCTTGCACTGTACCACTGCTCTAGCATGTACAGAAGATAACAGTTCCTTGTGAAAGTGAAGGCAATTAGTACTGGGAAACTGCTTGACAGCCTGCCCAGGAATGATGCAGTGGCTGAACTGTGCTCTGGTAAATTCAACGTCGCTTACTGCTATGATCTGGAGTTAAAACTACCAACGCCACCACTTTACCCTGTTGAATTTTTATAATGTTTTTAGTGTACTTCAAATTTTTATAAGTCTAGTTATTGTTAGTGCAAGTAATTTCAAATTTGAATTTTTTAACAGCAGACGTGACTTTAATGCCTTGTCACTTTGACACTGAAAGGTGTTCTTTAGAGGGTTCTAAGACACTAATAATGTTGTTGTGAATGTCATATGCTTTTTCAATACTTTTATTCTTGTACTGTTATTCATACATGAAAAAAGCAGCTACTTATATTCAATAATCTGTACCTCTTATTCCACTGAATACCGACTGTTGTTGTAAGAGATTTACAGAAATTTGTTTGGCTGTAAGTATGTGTGTTTCATCTGTTTATTTTTATTTATTTATTTTAATTTTATGTTTATTGGTTGATGTTTTGTTAGTATTTTTTGTAAATTTAATGCATATGAGAGCCCAATGATGATTGAGAGTAATTATCACAGTAATGATGTTCTTACAAAGCACAGTGGAGAAACGCATAAAATAAACAAACACTTTCTAGGATATTGTGCAATAATGCGTAGGTTTGCTTCATCAATATTTCAAAATAGTTTTATTGACATCATGTGGATGTAATTTTAAATGAAATAAAATCACATTATAATAATACATTTATGTTAAATTGAAAAGCCAAGTGTATGGTATTTCGGATAGAACTACACAGACAGTTCATACCTCAGGCACTTCACTCCTAGCCATTTTTTGCAGACACTTCACACCTCTGTTTATGAAATTTGAAATATTAAAAGTTGCCTTGGGTTAAATATTTTATTAAAAATACTAAATTATCAGTTTTCAATCAGAATAAATAACAAGAAAATTTTAGTTGTATGAAAATACTAAATGCGTGACATATCATTTTTTTCTGACATCTAACCCTGTCTTGGTAAGTGTGTTGTGCTTTTTAAAGTCATTTATTATGCCCCCCCTCGAAGAAGAGGGGGTATATTGTTTTGCTAATGTAGGTCGGTGGGTAGGTCTGTCTGTCCGTCGGTAGACCACAAGGTTTCTGCTCATTATCTTAAAATCTATCACAAAGTCTTCATATTGCACATAGTGATTGGTAATAACTATTACATGACCCCTATTGATTTTGGGGTCACAAGGTCATGGTCACAGGGGCCTTAATTGTCCAAATGGTTTCCGCTGATTATCTTGACAACTATTTGTCACATAGTCTTTATATTTCACATAGTTTTTGGTCGAAACTCGTAGATGACTCCTATAGATTTTTGGGTCAAAGGTTAAGGTCAGAGGGGCCTTAAATGTCAGAATGGTTTCCGCTTATTATCTTGAAAAACTATTTATCACAAAGTCTTTATATTTCACATAGTGATTGGTCATAACTAGTAGATGACCACTATTGATTTTGGGGTCACTAGTTCAAAGGTCAAGGTCATTAAATATTATAATGGTTTCCGCTTATTATCTTGAAAACTATCACAGTCTTCATATTTCACAAATTGATTGGTCATAACTATTACATGTCCCTTATTGATTTAAGGGTAACTAGGTTAAAGGTCAAGGTCCCAGTGCTTAAAATGTCAGAATGGTTTCCGTTCATTATCTTGAAAACTATTTATCACAGTCTTCATATTTCATATAACTGGTAGATGTCCTCTTTTTATATTGGGATCACTATGTCAATGGTCAAGGTCACAGCCTCACAGGGTCCTTAAATGTCAGAATGGTTTCTGCTCATTACCATGAAAACTATAAATCACAAAGTCTTCATATTTCACATATTGAATAGCCATAATGGGGTCACTAGTTCTAAGGTCAAGGTCTTTATATATCACAGATTGATTGGTTATAACTAGTAGGTCATTATTTTTCTTACTTTCATAACTGAACACTTCCATGTACCCATTTATGGCAATATTCTATAACAACATTACAAATAATGTGAGTCAATGGCTAGAAAGGGGTGCATATGTGTTGTTCCACATTTCTTGTTGCGGAATTGATTCATACTTGGACAAAACAGCGTGTGACTAGACAGACCTGTTAAAATTAAAAAAAGGAAAAAACTTTTTTCTTTGTAATTTTAATTTTAAAGATTTGTTCAAACCAAACGAAAAATAAAAAGGTCAAGCGTTGCCCCTGTCAAGCGATGGTCATCTTGTTTAATTGTAAAATATAATCTGGTCTCTTTACAGGGTTATGTGGTCATGAAAATTCTTGTGATGTTTTAAATTCCTAATTGGTAGCTGTAGTTTATATTTTACAATATACATGTACTATATTACATCATGTGCTTTCTTTTTTTCAGACAAATAAGAAAAATAAAGAAATCATGGTGTTATATCGGGCCAGTGAATCTCACTTTACTTCATTAATGTCAGAACTGAACCAGTTACGACAAGAGAAGACTTTCTGTGATGTCACATTAAAAGTTGGATCAAATGAAATACATGCACATAGATCAGTGTTGGCAGCAGGTTGTCAGTACTTTAAGTCATTGTTTCTCGGTCACTTTAGTGAAGCAAATATGAAAGAGATTAATCTCTCGGAAGTAACTGAAAATGTGGAAGCTTTAGAAATTATTATGAACTTTATTTACTCGGGAGAAGTTGAAATTAATATGGAAAATTTGGAAGTTATTGTTAAACTGTCATCCTTCTTTCTTTTAGAAACCCTGCGAAATTTTTCTGCTGCTTATATGAAGGATGCACTTTGTCTAAAAACATGTGTAAAGTTCTATCTTTATTCAGCAGAACATGGAATAGCAGATATCGAGTTTGATGCAGAACTGATGATGAAAGCAAGGTTTCATGATGTGTTGATCTTTGAAGATTCAACTCTGAATCTTTCAGCAGATGAAATGGCTTGTCTTATAGAGAAGGATGTGTTTCAACATTGCTCTGCTGTCAATGTTGTACAGTTTGTGACAAAATGGGTAAACAGAGGAAAAACTGAAAAACACGTGTCCATTGGTCTTGAGTTACTGGATTCTTTAAACAGAATAGAAGAAAGAATGGAATGTTCAGCACTGAGTGAAGTGTGTCTAGAAGCACTGTTTGAAAAGCTTGTTGTGACATTAGAGACATGTGATATTGTCAACAAAGAAGATTTTATTGCCAGACTAAAAACTGCTATAGATGAAGTACTTATGGTGAAATTACCAGATACATGTACAGACTCTGATGGTATTGAGAGTGAGGTTGCATCATGTAGTACAAATAAACTAGTCGGCAAAGGAAAGAAAAAACCTCCAGCCACAGAATTAGCGGTAATAACATTATCACCAAAATTATGTTTGATAGAGGACTATAAAAAAGCAAGGTTAGGAGGTCTCATTCATCATGTTCAAGAACCTTTTAATGATGCTGTATTTGATGTGTGTGCATATATACCAAGGACACGAAGCTGGTACCGTGTCTGTGAGTTTCATGAGCAAGGTGGAATGCCAGAGTATCTTATTGATGGATCAGGATATGAAAGTCGTTTAGTTGTTATGAATGATGATATTGCTTTTGTTGACAACAGAGGCGATTACATTGATTTGTATAAAGTGAAAGAACACACATGGCATGCCCCTGATATACAGTACTCGGATACAAATATCAGCCCCGAGTTAGAAAATGGTCCCTTTCAGGCAAATGATGTGTGTTTTGTGACTGGGAACAGAAATGAAAGGTACATGGTTGTTAGAATGAGGCTGTTTACAGACAATTCATTTGATCAGGTGACAGATATGTATTTCCGTTGCTATATTATGGGTAATGATGGAGAGTCTTGGGATTGCATTTTTGTGACCCCAACCAGAATACGGACCAATTTGTCAGACAATGGTGGAATGCCTGAAATGAATGCACATATCAGTAAAACTAGTAATGAAATGTTAGTAACTCATAGCACTTTAGATGGGGGCTGGAACATTGTTTTTATTGCCAATTTGAATAACTTATTTCCTGTGCCAGTCATGTTGAAATCCGAATTTATTGAAGACCAAGATGTATTCAGGGGAAGTGCTATTATAGAAAAGAGTGATAGTCTCCTCATTGTGTCAAATGGAACAAAAAATTGTGGACATGAGGTGAAGATACTTTATGAATATAAGTTTAACTCTGAGGTATTGACTGATGTGAACTTACCGGGGAAGGTTATCACTACAATAACAAAACCATATGTTTATGATGATGAGGAATCAGAGTATCCCTGCCTGTGTGAATTCACTGCCACAGATGGTCAGTCACTCTGGTACATTGAGGGAAACCTGGACAATGTTAGTGCTTTCACAGAAGTTCAGTTGGACAACAACCAGAATCTCATTACACTGAAACATACCCCGCCCCCTTTTGCTTGTATAACCAGAGCATTTGCTGGTCAAGTCAGTGCTGAGATATTATCCTGTATCAAACCAATCTCTCACTTTCTAGTCAAAGAAAAAAGTAAACCACTGTAATCTGTTCATAGCTAACAGTGAATACAATAAAACCGTAGAGACTGTTGGTATAAATTCATAAATTGTGTGCTTCCTGAATTTCATGTTTATCATGACAGATTGTTACAAAACCAAGACCTAATGTAACTGATATTTTATATAAGTTTTAATGTTATCAAGTAAATAGTTGAACCAAGATGTAATATAGTGTTAAGTTATTAGTTGTATCAAGAGTCCAAATGTTATCAAGTAAATAGTTGACCACAGATGTTATATAGTGTTAACAATATGTTATCTAATTAAAAGTTGAACCAAGGTGTTATAAAGTGTAAACAGTTGTACCAAGACATCTTATTTGGTCATATGTTATCAAGTTAATATTTGAACCAAGATGTTATACAGTGTTAACAGTTGTACCAAGGTATCTAATAGTCCAAATGTTATCTAGTTAATTGTTGAACAGTGTTAACAGTTGTACCAAATGTTTTCTTATAGGTCCAAATGTTATCTAATTAATAGTTGAACCAAGATGTTATACAGTGTTAACAGTTGTACCAAATGTTATCTTATAGGGCCAAATGTTATCAAGTTAATAATTGAACCAAGATGATCAAGATGTTACAAAACCATGACCTAATGTAACTGATATTTTACAAGTTCAAATGTTATCAAGTAAATAGTTGAACCAAGATGTTATGTAGTGTTAACAGTTGTACCAAGATATCTTATAGGTCCAAATGTTATCTAGTTAATAGTTGAACCAAGATGTTATACAGTGTTAACAGTTGTACCAAGATATCTTATAGGTCCAAATGTTATCAAGTTAATAGTTGAACCAAGATGTTATACAGTGTTAACAGTTGTACCAAGATATCTTATAGGTCCAAAATGTTATCTAGTTAATAGTTGAACCAAATGTTATGTAGTGTTAACAGTTGTACCAAAATATCTTATAGGTTCCAAATGTTATCTAGTTAATAGTTTAACCAAATTTATACAGTGTTAACAGTCTGTACCAAGATATCTTATAGCGTCCAAATGTTATCAAGTTAATAGTTGAACCAAGATGTTATTACAGTGTTAACAGTTGTACAAGATATCTTATAGGTCCAAATGTTATCTAAGTTAAATAGTTGAACAAGATGTTATGTAGTTTAACAGTTGTACCAAGATATCTTATAGGTCCAAATGTTATCTAGTTAATAGTTGAACCAATGTGTTAATACGTGTTAACAGTTGTACCAAATATCATTATAGGTCCCAAATGTTATCCAAGTAATAGTTGAACCAAGATGTTATACAGTGTTAACAGTTGTACCAAGATTATCTTATAGGTCCAAAATGTTATCAAAGTTAATAGTTGAAACCCAAGATGTTATACAGTGTTTTAACATTGTACCCAAGATATCTTATAGGTCCAAATGTTATCTAGTTAATAGTTGAACCAAGATGTTATGTAGTGTTTACAATTGTACCAAGATATCTTATAGGTCCAAATGTTATCTAGTTAATAGTTGAACCAATGTGTTATACAGTGTTAACAGTTGTACCAAATGTTATCTTATAGGTCCAAATGTTATCTAGTTCATAGTTAAACCAAGATGTTATACAGTGTTAACAGTTGTACAAAGATATCTTATAGGTCCAAATGTTACCTAATTAATAGTTGAACCAAGATGTTATGTAGTGTTTACAATTGTACAAAGATATCTTATGTTACAAAACCATGACCTAATGTAACTGATATTTTACAAGTTCAAATGTTATCAAGTAAATAGTTGAACCAAGATGTTATGTAGTGTTAACAGTTGTACCAAGATATCTTATAGGTCCAAATGTTATCTAGTTAATATTTGAACCAAGGTGTTATACAGTGGTAACAGTTGTACAAAATGTTATCTAATTAATAGTTGAACCAAGATGTTATGTAGTGTTAACAGTTGTACCAAGATATCTTATAGGTCCAAATGTTATCTAGTTAATAGTTGAACCAAGATGTTATACAGTGTTAACAGTTGTACCAAATGTTATCTTATAGGTCCAAATGTTATCTAGTTAATAGTTGAACCAAGATGTTATACAGTGTTAACAGTTGTACCAAATGTTATCTTATAGGTCCAAATGTTATCTAGTTAATAGTTGAACCAAGATGTTATACAGTGTTAACAGTTGTACCAAGATATCTTATAGGTCCAAATGTTATCAAGTTAATAGTTGAACCAAAATGTTATACAGTGTTAACAGTTGTACCAAATGTTATCTTATAGGTCCAAATGTTATCTAGTTCATAGTTGAACCAAGATGTTATACAGTGTTAACAGTTGTACCAAGATATCTTATAGGTCCAAATGTTATCAAGTTAATAGTTGAACCAAAATGTTATACAGTGTTAACAGTTGTACCAAATGTTATCTTATAGGTCCAAATGTTATCAAGTTAATAGTTGAACCAAAATGTTATACAGTGTTAACAGTTGTACCAAATGTTATCTTATAGGTCCAAATGTTATCTAGTTAATAGTTGAACCAAGATGATCAAGATGTTACAAAACCATGACCTAATGTAACTGATATTTTACAAGTTCAAATGTTATCAAGTAAATAGTTGAACCAAGATATTTTATACAGTGTTAACAGTTGTACCAAGATATCTTGGGAATATATAGTAAAGATAAGTTTAAATGTTACATAGTAAGCAGTTATAATGGGCATTAATGTCATACACTGTCTAGTTAACAGTATGGTAGTACAGAGTAATTCGTGGTGTAAGCGATAGGTTACATTGTAATGGATATGTTTTGATATTTTATAATAAAATGTAAATCACAATTTTATGAAACACTTCCACTGCCATGTACTACAAGAGCACTGAAGATCTTGGAAAACCAAATGCTTTACTTGGGTCCAGATTTAATTTCAGAATCTTTAGTACTAAGTGTGTTCAGTTTTTCCATTTTTAGCTCACCTGTCACAAAGTGACAAGGTGAGCTTTTGTGATCACAATTTGTCAGGGGTCGTCTGTCCGTATGTTGTTTGTTCTTTAAATTTTACTTTAAATGATATCTCCTCATAGACCACTGAGCCAATTTAATCCAACTTCACAGGAATAATTGAATTCCATGCAGAACTCTGGTTGCCATGGCAACTGAAAGGAAAAACTAAAAAAAAATCTTCTTAAAAAAAACCCAAAGAGCTAGAGCTTAGATATTTGGCCTGGGCCAAAATTGGTACCGACCCAGGGGGAGGGGTCATTGATTTTCCTTATATGTATATAGTTAAAACTTAACAAATCTTCTTTTAAAAAACCAAAAGTGCTAGAGCTTAGATATACATGTATAGCATGAACCATCTTTTAGTGAGTATCTTCCAAATTTGTTCAAATAAAAGCCCTGAGGGTGAAATTGGCCCCACCCCAGGGTGTCATTGATTTTCCTTATATATACACATTTTTTGGAACTGTTGTTTTCTCTTAACTATAGCAAACATGAAATGTTTTACACATGCACTTTTCCAGATATAATTATAAACTTTGTGATATCACTTTAAGACTAATATGAAGATTTTATATCATTCTGCATTGTTTATAGTTTACAATGTTTCTTGTCTTTATCATAGAGAGTTTTTATATTCAGGTGAGCGATTTCAGGGCCATCATGACCCTCTTGTCTTAATTATACCATTGTATTTCTCCTAAATATGAATTTTTTACTTTTTATTTATTTATTTTTAAGCAATAAGAAAATACTATGCATGTACAGATGTATTTTAACTTAGAACTATTGAGACTTACCACATGTAATTGTTTATTTTATTTTGTTTGCAATCTTATTTTATGTTTGAACATTTTGTTTTACATTCCTCTCATCCATTTTGTATTGACAATAATATCAATTTTGTATATTTTATTTTGAATTAAAATATTTTCTAAATTAATCACTTCGCCCATTTCTGTTAGATTAAACCTTTTTATGTATATATTTTAAAGAAATTGTTCAAAATCATGTTAAAGTCTGCTTTTATTTTTTGACCGGTACTAGTACGACACAAAGAAGAATTGTTGTATATGGTGCATGCACTTAGGGCCATCGTTTTCTCCTTGTTTTTTAGCTTATTATCCTATGCTAGTACACACAGAAGAATTGTTGTATAGGGTGTATGCACTAGGGGCATCGTTTTCTCCTTGTTCCTATGCTAGACAGATTCTGCAGATGTCTGTAGTTAGGACAAAAGATCACCGAGGCCATTCCTCAGCATTTCCGTTTTTACGTTCTGCACATTTTAGAACAAAGCATAGTGTCATTCTGACAGTGGTACTGATATGATCAATGATTCGTAGTCATTTCCATCCGTCGAGTGTCTTCAACGTTTATATCTGGTGTTTCATCTAAATGAGTTTCATATTCGTTGGTTGAAAGCTTTGTCATCAATTTACTGTAATCATATTTCTCATGTCTATGGATTTCCACAATTTTAGTTTTGGTTTATTGCTGTGTCGTTAATCTTGGCTATTATAATTGCCTTCCTGGTGGGGAAAACATCGGCGGGGAATTAACAAAAGTTGTTATGTACCATTGTCATTAATTTAATTCAATAATCGTTTAAGAGATCTTATAAATGGAATGTATGCTCGTCTTCTCTTTTATCTTGACATTTAATGTAATTAATGTGTATCATTTTGAACAAAAGTAAGCAACAATTAGACGAGATGACTAGACCAACTCCTCTGTAGAAACTTTAATAAATGACTGCCAGTACCGTGAATGTACGTTTCATATATATATATATACAATGTAGTTTGTTCTGTAATAAAAATGTCTGTATGATAAAAGTTGAGAGTGCAATCACAAATAACTTGGAAGTTTGGTATTTTGCTTTGAACATTATTAATTATATAACTTTTTAAGAGATATAAGACAAGGTCAAAATTAAGACTAGAACATAAATTTACACAAGTTTCCATTTCTTGGTGCTATTCCTATGAAATATAAAACACACACCGAAGAACCGGTATTCATGTATAAGGTAATATATGTTTGGGCAAGAGGGCTGTTTGATGTATATGTATTGTGTCTTCGCGTAAGTAAGGATAAACTGTATTATATCAATGAAATATTATTTATATTATTCACTGAGTTACCTCTCATTTGTTTTCACTGAATATTAAGAGTAATATCTTTATCAAAATGAAACAGAAATCAAAAGTTTTTTATTGCGATTTATCACATACCCGTGTCGCGTTTGCGGCTCCGTAAAAATGGCATTGCATCGCCGTGCATTTACTTTGACGTGATGCATATACATGGCGTTAATTAAGACGTTACACTATAAACGCGTCAATGAAAAAGTGATTATTTTTTACTGTAAACAGTTCTTATTTTGGATATGTGATAGATAAAATATTATATTCGTGTAGGTTCATTACATTAATTTATTGAAGTCGTTGAATAAAATAATATTATGCTCGCCAGTGGCTCGCATATTTACAATTTTATTCATCTCGTTCAATAAATTCAGTATTGAACATACATTCATTCAATATATACTGAATATTTGAGAAAAACAAATGTCTTCCCACTGTCATAACATACTGTTGTCATTAGGATCTAGTTGTAAAATATTTCAGTAGCGAAATTGAAGGATTAAATTTATTATCTTTTAATATATCTCAAAATTCCGGGATCCAATTATCGGACAATTTTATGACGGAAGATCACTGTATCCAATATGAAAAAATCAAAAATTATTGTCGATAATTTTAAGTTTGCAACACTTTGTATTATATCTATATCTCTGAAAAATCTACTTTTATGAAAGAAGTACAAGAGAAAATAGTAAGTTTGTAAAGATAGACAAGGTTTTT